AAAACCTAGTTTTCGGGTTACCTCGTCATTGCAATTCGGGACAAACCACTGAAAATTTTCAATACGACAAAATCATATAATTATGTGACGAAGTTTGTCACCGTGCCAATATTTTTTCTGCATAATTTTCAATGGTATTTCATTTGGTAATTATTCTGTTTTGAAGATTGCATTTATTTTAAAATAAGAATAAATCTACACAAACATACCGTAGAACGTGGTTTGTAGTATACAACATATAAATTTCACAAGTTTTGGATGTTTAGTCTAGTAAAAGAGAAAAATTTGTGAGGTCCGACAATTTTTTGCAACCGCGTGTGATAGAAATAGACAAGTCTTGGCAATTACGGTTATTAAAACACAATTGTAAACTTTAAAAGAATTACAAATCATCGCAGTTATATATTGCTTGAAAATATCTGACAGTTTCGTATACAAATTGATTATTTTGACATTGATTTGAATAATTTTCGAGAAACTGATAAGATTCGAAGATTGAGTAGATAAACGCTTGTTACTATTTTTTAATTCCACTTGAAAATCAACCTAAAACTATTGTTTACCTCGATCATTTTCTTATCACCAAATATTCTATTTAAGAATTTCTCCCTCGTTCTTTAAACTTACAATAGACAATTTCTTCACCACGACATTTCGATTTCACGCAAGGACAAAATTACAATTATTTGACAAGTCGTTTATGAAATAGTAAAAGTAAAACATTTCCCGGTAAAATTATATTTTAATAAGCTACATTTACTTTTGTAAATAGTGAAAGTATTTCTGTAATTTCGTGTTAAATATCAAATTACTTCTTACCATATTAAATCAATTGTGGCAGAGCATTGAAAATTCGTCAAATAATTGTAATTAGTAGAAAAAATCTTACTTATACTCGGATAAGTCATTTACTGTAAGTGGTATAAAATTGTCTTAACTTTAAATAACAACGAATGCCGTCTTAGTTTATTATCTGTAGTGTTTAGAACAGTCAAGGAAAATTTCGGGAAACTTAATTGTAATAAAATAAAGAATATAAATGTTAAAAATATATATTTTATTTGCCTGATTTTATTATTTTATACTTATAACAAATAATAAATTTAAAGAATGAAACTTTTTACGTATTTGTATCGAAAGGACGAAAGTACAAAGGAAATAGATTTTTTAGTAAAGGGAATAAGTGAATATGGATGTTAGTGTTTGCGTGTATATATATATATATATGGGGGCATAATTTCGATCAGCCAGTTTTAACCTTGATCACTCCCGGTCTTTAGTGGAAAATTTATAAAATTTTGCAGGGAGGTTTGCCTATTAGGGAAATTTAGGCTATTAAATTTTAGCGGTTAAAAATCGAGGGGTAGAGAGATAGAGAGACGTCGTGTGTCAGACGTAGAGTAGAGTCAAAGTTAGTAACTTTACTCCTTAATTAATAGCATTTACAATTTTTTTAATAAAATTCATCACTACCCCGAAAATGAAGGTTTTTGCCCTTTTATAATAATAAACAATACATAATGCGCTTTTTAATAAAATATCATTACAGATGCGCCACACGCAACTTTCAACGTTGTCGCCGGAAAACATAGGCGACTGCACGATGGATTTTTATTCAATGCCTATTGAAAAATGTAGATAAAGTAATACGTTAATAATAGGTTAAATGTATAAATAATATATTATAAATAAATAAATAAATTTAAAAATTTTATATATTCACTTATTTATAAATACAAGTAGACTCTCGAAAACTCGGCACTCGATAACCCAGCACTCCGGATAACTCGGCCACACCCTGGCAGGGCAAAAACAAAATCTTTAGTTAATTAATTTTGATTATAGACAGCTTTATGTCTCATAAAGTATTTTTCTGAGGTCTGTCTTATCAGGTAAATTACTGTACACAGCGTATTCATTAATTTTCATTTTCATGTAGTAAAGGCTTTATGCCTTCATAAAGGACGTACTTTTCTTTTGTTTAAGGGTATTGGGGCAGTTTATTCTCTGTTGTATTCTCGAGCAAACAATACATACATACATTCATTCATTTTAATATTGTATATTAAAAGTACAGACCGGCCCCCATAGGCATTACCGGTTATACACATTACAAAATAATAATAATACACAGGATTTAGAAGATACACTGTTATAAATGATGAAAATATACAGGTAAATAAATAGTCTGTAAATACATAAAATAAAGTAAAATTGAATAAAAAATAAAAACAATACATACAAGTACAGTGCAGTATTTTCTGAGAAAACACTCATACTTATTTTTTTAACTCCATTCCCGATAACCCTGCATTTTTACAAACTCGGCCACCCTTCGGTCCACATTAGGCGAGTTTTCGAGAGTCTACTGTAATAATATATAAATAATATTTAATGTAAAATGTAATACAATAATAATAGTTTAATATATGAAATAAATAATCATTGCAGTTCTTTTTAAAAATTCATAGCCAAGAAATTCGAATCTATTTCTCATATATACGTTACGTCCACTTATCTAATGCAAACGACACACGCGAGTAAAGATTATATTAATTTTTTTTTTGTTTTAGCAATTTTTCAGTAATAAATGGATTTACTACTTTTTCCATTGTAATAAATTATAGTACAAAATATAATTAGCCTCGTAATAAAATAATGATTGATACGATTCAGTCAATCATCATTACCGAAACGTCAACTCGCACGATATATTTCGACCGTGTTGAATATTGTACCTTTTAGTTTCTCCGAGCGAAGTTTATTGAAAAGAAAAATTTGTAATTTCTTCGTGCTTACAATATTGTAAACAACGAAGAAATTACAAACGTTTCTTTTCAATAGGACCACGTCACTTCTAATCTAATCAAATGCGTTAATTAAACGATTGATTATAAAGACTGACAGGGCCGCGCGAATTTGATTTTACAGAGATGCATTTCCAAATGGGTCCGAACTTAGTTTGCGTTACGGAACGGTCACTGGAGATGACAGAGACGAAGGCTCGCATATTTTTCAAATCTTTTCTGTAAATAGTCCGTATTGCCAACAAATGAGCCAACTCCATTCGATAATTAAACGATTTCCAATAGGATTTTCCGCCCAAGTCATCTTCGATAGTTGCTAGCCAACGAGATGCATATTTGCCAATTACAACTAAATATGCCCCGTATTTCGAACTCGAATTTAAAGCTCAACGCATTCCAAAATTTTTTATTTCGTTTCGTCACTGATTTAAAAAACTATAATTATTGAGGACGACCTCGAAAACGTTGTTAATATGCGTTTTTCATTACAGAGAATGATTTCTGCGCATCCTTTCTTCTGATATATTGTAAGTATTTACAAACATTTTATTATTATTACTTCGGTTTGATATTTAATTTTACAGGTGTAGTAGTAGGAATAACGACAAAATATTTATTGTCCCAACGTGTGGTGCTTTTAGGAAAATAAAAGACGGAAAAGAAAATAAATTGTAAAATTTCTACAATCAATGGAAATATTAATTAAAACACTTTTTAAGCAAGTAGTTTGTACCGGAATTAAATCACTTTTTGCATAATTTGTAGTCGTAAGAAACCGTTGTTAAAGTCAATTAGTAACGCAATCGATTTCTTTTCAAACTGTACTTAAAGTACTAGTCACAGTTATCATAGGTATCTGATTGTATTTGGATTTATATGGAATGGTTGGCTCGGAAAAAGTTGTCGATAATTATCCGGAGGTTTAGACCCGGAGGTAACTCGAGCACGGGAGAAAGACTATCGATATGTCTGGATAGAGCTGTTTTTTTCTCCAAATAAAATTATTATAATGGACGAAGCGACGACTAAATATCGACGAGCGTGGTGTTAAATTATGAGAATTTCGATGGTAGTTTTTGTTACGAGAAAAGACTTTTGCCCGTTCTCGTAGATGAAAAAGTATAATAACTGAAAATAGAAAATATTTTTTTCTTTCCAACGTAAAGTGTATAATTGAAATTCGAGATTCTTGTCAAAAATACAAATAAAATTTAATAGTTTAAAGGCAATGTTTATTTGATGGAATTTTATAATCGTTTAATATTTACTTAAATAATTTATTTTATACAAACGGAAAATGCGGCGGAATATTAATCAATTGTAGGAGATTGCGAATTGGTCCGAAAGATTAAAATTTATTGGTTAATTATGTGAATGTCCAATTAATCAGCAAATAGTTCAGACGGAAAAAATAATAATTGTTAATAATAAATAAAATTTAGATTACCTGTATTAATTTTATAAGAAAAGAATCGATTAAAAATTCGATATTACAGTAGTGTGTCGTTTATATTTTCTACTAATTTTCGTATTATTCTAAAAAACTTCCGTTTATCTTTTATGCGTGTTTTATTATTTACAATTATATACGCAAAATCTACATTTATTATTTACTTCTTTTCCTATTAAATTTTTCTAATCGTTGTAATCGTAACCTTTTCTACATTTTTTACGCGTGTTGCGCACCCGCTTTATTTTCTCTTGTTATTATTTCTTCCTTGTGTTTATTCGCGGTAAACATTATTATCAATTAGTTTTTATATCGATAAAATAAATATCTGCTCCTCGTTTTCACTTAATGAACGACGAAATGAAATTTTATATTACGAAAATAAACCACAGGTTTGCCTTCTACTGATATTCTAACGGGATTTCTAGAAATACTTAAAATGCGTTAGACGAAAAGACAGTATTTTGTACGTCTTTCGCAATAATTTCAATTAACGTCATTGAATGTTCTAAGAACCGATGCAAATCTAGTAAATTAAACCAGGTTATGTTTAAACGTTTAACGACCTCGATTGTAGTATTGTAGATACAATTATTTCGTAACTTCTGGTAAACGATAGTGACGATTACTTATTTAAACGCGTTCCGGAAAACTCCGTTCAGGTATTTTCCATTTGTTATTCGACGAGGAATCCTCCCATCGAAAGTTTCAATTATAAAGAATGGTCGATAATGGTACGACGAATCCCTTCGAAACTGCCGGATGCTTGTCTCGTATGTTTTTCTGGTTCGTAACGTTCTCGTTTTATTCTATTATTTTTAGCCTAAATAATACACTTATTATTAAATTTAAATAACTGATTTTTGAATTTACGTCAATTTTTCCGACTTAGGAAAATGCATTTCTAGCTAATCTCGTGTAATTTTTATACCTATTCGTTTAATTAATACATATTAATATAACAACGACGACAAATTCGAGTAAATTATACAGGGTGGTTATAATTAAAGTTGCGCTACTTAGACCCGTCTAGAGCCAGTTCTCGTGGACGTATTTTGATAAAACTCGGCATATACGTTATACGGACCGAGGGGAAAAGGGAAATGTAAAAAAAAATATTTAATTCGAATTTTTGCCACTAGCCGAAAAAATGGCGCACGAAGAACAAAAAACGCAAAACTGAAAGACGCAAAAGGCTTTCATTCACAACATTTGTTCGATGCGCAATCCATTTGCATCAATTACGTGTTGAAAACGCCTTACATTTTCCTTTTTCTCATGGTCCATATAAAATAGGCTATATATGCCAAGTTTCGTCAAAATACGCCCACGAGAACGGACTCTAGACGGGTCCGAGTAGCCAACTTTCATTATAATCACCTTGTATTTACGCCAATTAAGAAACGTAGATCTATACGGCTTCTATGTATTTGAAACGTTTTGGCTCCGGCTTCAAATTACTTTTCGGTACCGGGTGTTCATTCCTTAAGCTGTTCGATAGAAAACTTTCGACGTTTAACTTGGCAAATATTTAAAAGTCTCGTGAATTTAAGAAAAACTTCTGAAACAACTCGCGCTTCCAACTTACTGCCACAGACATATTCCCGGCGAATCTATTCTGTTAAATTCTTAGAATTAAACAAACTCAATTTTTATCCACCGTAATGTAGACAATATTTTAGTAGCTTTTAAATAATATTTAAAATATTACAAAGACAATTTATATTTTAAGCACTCTTATTCTAGCATAAACTGGCAATTGTAAAATATATACTAAACAGCATTTCCATCGGTTGCTGGAGTAACGATAGAAATAATTGGTTAATTGTTTGTTGGTCTGTCGCTGTCTTTTCTAACGTTTTTTCCTCGTTAGCTCTACTTCCAACCGAGAATAATCCGCTAAAATGACGTATGGTTAAGCGGGCTGGAAAATCTTTTTCTATCGTTTATATAAAACTAGCAAATGAGCCCGGCGTTGCTGGGGCAAAAAGTAACGATAGCCAAGATTTAGATTATTAGATTACAGCCAATCTTAACCGTTTTCACCGGGTGCAAGAATTAGGTCTCCCTCTTCCGAGACTAATTTGACAATTTTTACACGGGTCTAAAAATATGTTCGATTTCCCCAAAAAACGCAAAAAACCGCGTCTATAACAGTACAGTAAAAGCCGAGTCCATCGGAATAATTTTTAACTCTCTCTCTTTCCCGCGGGGGAAGTTTGAAAAATCCTTTTATAGTGTACGTTCTCACCACGTACCCTAACCGTGTACCAAATTTCAACTTTCAACTCCTAACCGTTCGGGTTCTGCGCTTGTTATTGTTATTATCTACCCATCTCGATTATATATAGGCCTATATAGATAGATTTACATAAAACGATAAAAACGAGTTATAATTTGATTAACAACGTACAACGGTTTAAATAACCCGCTTCTTTTTAGAGCAAACGCGCTTAAAGATTACAATGGGCGGATCCGCGGTGGGTGATCTCGCTACAAAACACCGGTATAAATAATATTCGGGTATTTAATTTCATCCTTTTCTACGGTTATAATTAATTTTTCAACCATCGACTTATGATAAAAATCCGGAGAAAGAGAACAATTTGACGAATCTGAGTTTATCGTTTTTCATTAAACGAACGGTTTTTGTCTTAGATTATTTATTTACTTATTATTAGTAAATTCCGAAAATGAACTATAAATATTAGTCTACTATTTAATTTATTGAAAATAATTAATAAAAGTCGTTTATATTTTTATATTTCTGTTTTAACTTTATCACTTCCTGTACGAATGACGACATATCTTTTATTTACAATTTTGTAATTTTCGCAATTATATACGGTGAGAAAACAAAATTTTAATTGGTGTATAAACAATATTTTGTATAAGTAAAAAAAACCCGTATACTTACTTATATATTACTTTATATATTTTGTCGTTTCGGTTTTAAAATCTATCCTATCCTAGTTGACTTTTATATTTTTGGCCTTTATCCGAAGATATCATTTTTACATTTCGTCCTGGTATCTTATTTAATGTGCTCGGAATAGGAAATTATAAGATTATCGGCCGAGAAAACGAGACCAATATTCGGTTATTAAATGGAAATTACGAAAGAGACGTCGGGCGTGACGTACGGTACATATCACAATACTGTAACTAACGATTATTACAAAATCTAGGGAAGAATCGAATTAGTTTACGTTTCTACCAATACAATTCATTTAGCGTAGTTTCGGTTAAGCGCGGTGTTGATCGTCGTCCTTGGAAATAATCGCGACGATTCGCTTTCTTTAAGTACAAAATATCCGTGTACGAAAAATCTCACACTTTCGTTCGAGATTATTCTAAAAGTTACGCTATTGTACAGTACGTGACGCGTACGAATAGGAAAGATAGACAAAAAATAAAATAAATATTTTTACATTTAAGCCCGGCTTTTTCGAATTATTTTGCCATTTCTTCTCGGACATTTCAGTTTAAAAAATTAGAACGTAATTAAAAAAAACTACGAAAATTAAAGAATGGCGTAGCTGTTTCGAACGGACGAAAAAAAGGAAGCTACGGTAGATGAAACATTGCGTTTGAGTGGCGACACCTTTGTGAATTTCTCTGTCTAGGGATGCTTTTAGTCTTCCCAAAAGTTTAACGGAAGCGAGGTCTTAACCCAATTTTAAAATTAACAGAAAATATTATAGCGTTTTAGCTGGTTCCCCCGTTATCTCACCCACAAAAATTAACCTACTGATTAATTGGAAATATTTAGAGTATTAGTGAAAAATTTGGTGTAAATAAAGGTGGAGGGAGTATACTCGGGACTGCCGACACCCGATACGGGGCCCGAGGGTAGAACGGGTCCTCTCTTCTTAACGTCATCTTAAGCCAGAAAAGTTTTTGGACAAATGAAATAAGTAGGGTGTTTCTTTTTTAGTTAAAAACATTCTTAAATATTTTACTTTTTGTTAATAAAAGTAAGATTAATTTATAGGGCTTGAAATTTCTACGGGCTCCTAAGTTTCCTCCGGACCGAAAAAAATCTCCAACTGCCCTCTCTCTCCACGGCCCCGCGTAAAAGATACGTTGAGTGACAGCGAGCTTATTACACGGTCAACTACCAACTGGAGATAAATTTTTCTGTTTTTGGAACAGTTCCGTTTTCTTTAACTAATCCTTGTTTACCGAACCTTAGGCAAAAAACAATTGCCCGTGGTTCTGTAAAAAAAGGATTAATTTAAAAGAATGGATATTATGCAGTTTTTCTTTCCTTTTGTATCGGGTGTACTGGTAATGTTTGTAAGGTCGAAGAAGGTTTTTCCTTTATACGACTATTACGATAAACGCTTTAACTGAAGAGGGCCTAAAATAAATGAACTCGAAATGCATTTGAATGGTTTATAAAGAAAAGTAGTTTTAAATAAAGGCATTTTATTGTCTCCGGTTTGTTTTTATTATCTTCGGGTCGACAATGGCAATTTGAAGCATAATTTGCTAACTTCGTCAATTTAAATACGCGAATTATTTTTGATAATAAAATAATTAAGTTTAATTTTATAAGAGAATAAACCGGATAAGATGAAGTTACCACCGAAACTTTCATTATCTATCGAGATACGTTTATATGAACTTTTAATATAAGTTAAATAACACTATTTAACTTATTACTTTTTATAAATAATTATTTTATATGACTATTATTGTATAAGAAAGCATACCGTACACACACAAAGAAACATATAGAAATGATAGGCAAATCACAAATTATTCCGCATAACAACTGAACTGAAAATAGTTTTAAGTAAACGGGCACACGCGCGTTTAAACTTTTAAAATTTGTTTATAATTCATCGTTTAACCCGACTATTTGTTTTGCGGATAGAAATATTTACGATAAATCAAAGATACTTTATTGCGTGCCGTAAAAAGTCAAATTTATATGGAATACTTTCAGTTGGATCTTTCCGTTATTGAATAAAGGGAGGAAGACAAAGGATTTAGACGACGAAGATATTTATTGTAACGTCAAAGAAAACGACTCTCGTCATTTGGCTGATTTATTACAAAAGTACGTATACTAAGTTTTATTTAATTGACAAAGTTTTAAAATATTACGTTTTTCTGCTTAATAGTTGTAATTTAAAATGTAAAATTAGTTGTTGCGTATTTTGTGACGCGTCAGTAACTTTTGTTTAATATTTCAGATTTATTCATTTATTAAGCTTTAAACGAGGCGTTAAAAGTCAAATGCTTCTTTCCGAAAACAATTTGGATATAGCCTAAATATAGAAGAATGCCGTTCATTCGAAACGAATTTATCAGGACCTAATTAGGACAGATATGTGAAACGGGGAGATAATTAAATGATTATTTGAATAGCGTAATTATCTCTACGTCAGCTAATGCTCCACGAAAATTAAGAATACACTTAATAGTAACTATCGATATACACGAATCCGCTCGAATTACACAATTTACATTTAATGTAATCGGAAAAAAAACATCGGCATGGCTTTTTCAAATTAGATATTTTCTGCGCTGGTGCCCAAAGCTAAATCTCCAAACCCAAAATCTGCGCGAAATAGACACCGTGGATGGTAAATAGCCGAAAATTTCGTCATACGTAAATGAGTGAAGTGCCGTCCTACCAATCGAATGGCGTGCAAACCAGACGCGATAGCGACAAAATTTAATGCCCTAAACTGTATATTCGAGGAAATCGTTTCGGACAGACATTGGTCTACTAACTTAGGACGGCTCGCTGTGAGGAAATGCATTTGATACATCATCGGCTTATCAGCTTTGCCTGGGAGAAGGCAGTCGGACGATTCGTTTGTACTGTACGTTTTAGCCTAGTACGGTACAGTACATTTGTGTGTAGTACGGTAGTTTAATTTCGGACACGAGTGTATAATAAAATTAATGTTTAAGTTTATGCAAATCGGTCGGTTCAACTTATCCGTTGAAAAAGATGCGATTTCGCATCTTAACTTGGTAATTTATTTATTTATTTATTTATTTAGACATACTAGACAGAGCCCATGATGCGGGGTATACAATAATTCGTTACATGTACTGTACATTACAAAAAAATATCATAATCCATCCATTATTACAGAGAAAATTAACATATACATAAATCAAAACAAAAAGTATTATTATAAACATCAAAAAACATCAAAAATAAATATCTGAAAGCCAAATATCCAAATATAAACATATAACATAATAACAAAATTCATCATGGGGAGAACTATCCAACCAAAAACATCATTATATAAAGAAAAAAAACATTAATTACACCCACCTATAAAAGAAAAAGGATTCAATTATCTTATCCAAAATGTGGATAGTCTCCCAACACTTCTTAGCCACAAGCACACTTTTAAGGAAAAAACAAATGCCACCTTTCGGCAAAAACGAATACTCCAATATGCAAAATAAACAACGATGTACGTCACTCCGTACAAGGGATCACTAAAACAAAATAAAAAAATCAACAAAGATTACCTAAAAAATAATTTAATTTTTTGAACAAAATTAATTAAATCGAAATTACTTATATTAGTAATAAGTTCCAAAAAATTCTCCAACGGAATAACAGAAGTTCCAAACACACTTTCTCGAATTTTTTCTAACTTAGAGCATTTAGCAATCACGTGAAAAGCATCCAATAGCTGATCATCCTTACAATACATGCAAATTTCTCTGCGATAATTCTATAAAAGAAAAAGGATTCAATTATCTTATCCAAAATGTGGATAGTCTCCCCAACTTGGTAATTTACGTGCGGAACGAGGCTGGATAAGAGAGAATTTTATAAAAGATTTGAACAGAAACGGCTTCGGCTAGAGATTTTTTGACGTTTTACATACGAAAGGAAGGTGAGGGAATTGGTTCGCTTCCTGTCCTACACTCAGACTGCGACAACGCGTCAGTGTGGATATTTGGTTACCGAGATTCGCTTTGTCGTCGACCAATAAACCCTCGCGTCGTGATTTTTTCACGAAATTACAAGTGTATCGACATTAAAACAATGAAAGTATGTGATATATTTTATAATTTAACCAAATTTATATAGTTTATTAAAGATTTGTTTGTTTGTATTTTTAGAAAGAAATAACGCAAAAAGTAATCGTAATCTTTTTTCTTTACTGGATTTTTAAAAGCGCGTGCTTTGGGGCACAACGGAACGGTTTCCCGTAAGGAAAAGGAAAAGGAAAAGGAAAAAAGTCTAGTAAAAAAGAACAAGGGGACGATTACTCGGAAGGAGATGATACGAATCGCCTTTACAGCACCCAGGCTTACTCACAGTCGACTGAGGGTTGGTGTTCGCGTGTCGCGTACAAAAGAATGGGCTCGTATGTCTCGTGCGGGTTTTGACAGCGACGATGACGATTCCGCGCTGATTTGCGAGTTTGGTAAGCGACGAGACGAGTATTTTTTTCTTAATATTTGAGCATTAATATCATACCCCATTCTGCCCCGAGTGCGGAGCGGAAGGAGATGTGGGCAAATTTTGTTTTTTAATGATTTATTTTTCATTCAAAATTATTGACTTTTTAAAATATAATTTAAATAATTATGCGCCAAATATAATAAATAAAAAATATAATGTAATATTTTTGTTATTTTTTTTATTGTTTACGTAATTTTAACTTCTTCGTTAGCTACCTCATTCCGCCCGATCCCCCTAAGTATCTTTATTTTCACTTTATTCACTCGTATTAGGGATTGCATACCGGTTAACTGATAAATTGACAAAAAAACATTCGTTAAACTTACCGGAACATTTTTGAAATTTATCGGTAATTTTGTAAATGAAAAATACTAGAAATTTTTATGTAGAAAATATTGTGTTTATAGATATTTAAAAAAGCTAAAGGAACATTGAAAGAAAAACAAGTAAGTGTAAGCAACAATATACGTAATTATTAATTTTATATGAGATATTTTTTGTTTAATTTTAATTTAAACTTTCTTGGGTTTGAGAGGCACTGTAAATTGTACAGAAAGCTCCAGTTAGCATACGTGATTTGTGCTCTGCAGTTTTTTGAAATATTTAAAGGTATAAAATCTTTACAATCAACGTTTTTCTTAAAGAATAAGTAAATATCTCCTCTTTTAATATTTAAAAATAATAATACGTAAATATTTCAAGTGTTTTTTTAAATTAATAGCAATTTTCAATACACCACATAATGACAGGACATTAACGCAATATTATTGTAAAATAACATTAAAATTTGTACCTTAAATAAATTTTTTACTTCTAACAACTGTTTAAAATAATTAAATACAAATATTTATTACAAGATTCTAACATTATGCCTTAAGATTGTGCAGAATATGTATTATTCTAACCTTATTTTCGTGGGGAATCCCCATTACTCTCACGAAAAGAACTTTCTTTAATTTTAGATTGTAGAACCCGGTGGAATAGCTTACTAAACATGCTGGAAAGATTTTTATTACTTAAAGATGATGTCCGAAAAAGTCTAGAAACTTAACCTAACCCGGATTATTTTGTACAAAAATTAGATCAAAATTAGGAGATAAGACTTTAAATAATTTAAGTTTCTTGAGAAGTTATTTTTTAAAAAATGGTAATCAGTAAAATGGTATTAGGTACTATATATTATTTCTGTTTTATTTTTATTTTTCTGTATTATTTTATTTATGTTTCTAAAAGTTATTATTATAGTTTGTTTAGAATAACACTTTAATTTTTATATTTTTTATATTCTATACCTTTGAAATAGAAAATGTGAAATGGAAATCAAAATTACTTATATTTTTTATCACCTTAATTTTATTTTTCAGGAAAAAAATTTACCGGTAATTTACCGGTAAACCGGTATTTTAATTTTCATTTACCGAATTACCGGTAAATGAAAAAGTCGGTAAATTTACAATCCCTAACTCGTATTATACTAAAATTATGTTCTAATAGGAAAGTTAACAGTTTCGTTTTATAATAGAGAATGGAATAAAGAATTACAAAAGGCAAAGCCGAGTTTAACCAAGTGTCTGATTCGTCTGTTTGGTTTTACGTACTTGCGCCTATTTCCATTCTTTTTAATTCAGGTACGGATAATTCTGTATTTAGTATTGACGATTTCAGAGAGATTTCATTTACGTTTTTCTTTAAAGGAGTGTTTCGTTGTTATCTTCCCCGCCTATTTGATCGGAATACTTACAGAGTATTTCGTTAACAAAACGTATGACAATACATTTGCATATTTAGCAGCTGCGGGCGTTTGTTGTTTTACTGTAGTCTACGGTTTCATTGTCAACGAACTTTTATTTCGAACGAGCAGACTCGATATGAAAATAAGAATCGCTTGTTCTGGAGCTATCTACAGAAAGGTTTGCTTTACTTTTATTCGCCTCCGAATCGACACGAATTTTGTTTTTAGAACTGAAATGCCACAAATAAAGTTATTATTTTTCAATTACAGGCGCTTCGTTTGAGTTATTCTTCGCTTGGAAAATCGTCTATAGGACAAATGGTTAACCTCCTGTCCAACGACGTTAATAAATTCGATAACGTAAGTAACAATTATTGGCTTTGCTACGTCTGAAATTTAACCGGTGGTTTGACGTGTACCAGTTCTATTTTATTCAAAGTTATAAAATAAATACCTTCTGTAAAAATCCGCTTTCTTTCCTTTCCTATTGTCCAATCTGCTAATTTGTAAACTTTAAGTTGTATTTTTCCACGGATCTTTTCAGTGCACGTATTTATCCACTTACGTCGTCACCGGCCCAATTCAATTAATTATAACAATTTGGATTCTGTGGAATTATATGGGATACGCGGTGTTCTCTGGAGTCGTGGGTATTGTCTTATATTTTCCACTTCAGATAAAAATAGGAAAGATGTTTTCTAAGCAAAGGTAAGCACTTTCTTCGTTGCACCCGACGTTTGAGAATATTTTATTACATACAAAAATTTAAACAATTCCAACGTGATTTTGTAAATTCTTTTGTAGCATTATAGCGTTAATCGCGAACGATTAATTTTTAGTAATTACGTCCGAAAATCTTTATAAACTTGTGAAGAGAGACTCTAAATTTCTTTACGTTTATCAAAATACGAGAAATCTGCACCTGTCGGCCTTCGACGGGTCCAACCCGAACGTTTACGATTGTTTTCTCCCCCTTAACTCTGTTAAAGTCTCGTTTTAAAAATTTTCAAATACTATAGGCCTATATATAAAAGTTTTACAAGTAATAGTATTTAAAAATTTTTAGTACAGTACAGTAGAAATAGTACAGTAGAAGCCGTTCTTCCGGTTAAGCCTTAATCCTCTCCCTCTCCCCCTCGGGGAAATTTCGAACATGTTTGATGTAAATTGATATTTAATAATGGAATATTAATGGGACCAGGCATTAGAGAAATACTGTTTACTATCCCAGAATAATCGGGCGAAAGATCACAGAGAGCTGTCGCATTCTATAATGGAGTTCGGCCATACTTTAAATGTTAAACTTCTAATTTTGGGTCTCGTTGTCTTCTCCACCAACGGCCGATTTGGATGAAATTTAAAATATTTAGTGGTCACGGCGAGTACCGCGGACGTCTTAAGTTTCGAATAAATTCGTTGGATCGCTCGAACTTATCCGCTGTGAATTTTGTGGCCTAGATTTATGACAGAGAATAGCCGCACCGGTTACCGACCGATCTAGCTGTCTACCCGTACGTTTAATAACTTTTTCCACAGCCGGCCGCCCGATCTTTGCCGTTTTCAAGAATTTCTTTAAAAATATTAAATATTTATATACCAAGAGCCCATTTTTAAATTTTCACGCGTTACCGTCGATTCACTGGCTCTTATGGGCTATGGTCACTTCCTTCCTACTATCCTATCTCTCTATATTTCATTCTTATTCTAACTCCTTCATCATCTTTACCCCTTCCTCCCTATTTTCATTTATGGCTATACCTATTAGTTCGGCCTGTACCTTTCCTATGTATGTATGTATGTGTCACGCGACTATATTCTTTGCCATTATTTTTCATCTATTAATTAATACAAAACTACCGATTTGAAAATAGAGTACAGTAGAACCTCGATTATCCGGACTAATTGGGGATGAAGGTAGTCCGGATAATCGAAAATCCGGATAATAGAGGTCCGGATAATCGAGGTTCTACTGTATTTGCAAAATAATTCCCATTTTTACTTTTCCGGCTGTTATATATAATAGAAGAAAAGTACGGCGATCGATCAAAAAATGATCGTTAATTCATATTTGTATATTTTTCGGCTCGGGACGCCTCGAAACGTCGAGAAATACAAAAAATTCGGGAGGTTTCCCATACGTACGGATGTTAAGGTGTGAGGGGGACAGGGTTACGTTTATCCTGTTTGAAACTTAATAACTCCTGAAATTTTTGTCAAAAATTTCTGAAATTTGCCAGGTTTGTTTATAGGGCGGATTTATCCTGTTAAATAGTAATGAAAGGTCGAGGGGTGGCGAAATAAAGGGAATCGCGTGTGTCTCCAATACGTTCGGACTTAATGACGGTTCTACTCGTTATTGGTATTAAAAACTTTTTTATAAAACATATTTCTATTCTCAAAATTCAGCTTTTTGTCGTTTTATAATAGTAAAAATATAAAAAATTTTTTAAATAAAACAGCATAATAGATGGCGCAACAAAATGTTGCCCAGAAACTTAAGCAACTCGCTGTTAGACTTTTATACTTTGGCAAATTATTACTCGACCGGTTATCCAGCGACACCACCTACTACGGGCTATTATCACGAAAACTACAGTGGGTGATCGGTTAAAGAACATAATCCGTTCCCAGACTTTGTTCGCTATCCGAATTGTTCGTTAACCGATTATCGATTTACCGTAGGTTTTACTGCGAATTTAATTAATTCGTTATGGAGACTCCCCAAAATAAAAAATATATATATACTTTCTTACTACGTCTATTCATACGTAATAATAAAAATACATAGGCCTATATACACGGTCTTGCGTATTTATTAGTCATGTTTTTTCCGTTTGAAAGGATTAAAGAATCTGTCTAATGTCGATCGCTTTTCTCTCTTCTTCAAGATTTTTCGTAAGTAATTAATAGCATTGCAATTGTAGAAATCCCCAAGCCTCGACCCGGTTTGGATGCCGTTCTAAAACCGTTCTTCTTACATCCTCGCACTTCTTCAAAGCACCTTTAATAACTGCGGCTTACTGTAGATCCGTTTATGCCATACTGCCCAGCAACATTAGGCGTCTTCTGCCCACTCTCTACCTTTGCTATTATACTCTCATCTTTCGAAAAGAAAAACAGACGCAAAACTAAACGATTGCCCGCCCGACAGTCTCGCGAATACTATAAAAGAATTGTTTCTGTCAGAAAAATAAAAGGCTAGAATTACGAAGGAAAGTTTAGAAGTTCGGAAGAATACTATTCAATCGGTATATACCGGGTCGAGCGTCGATGTCGACGTCTCCCGCGCTCCGAAAAGTTTCGAATTGTTGCCCGAAGACGAGGGAAGACCAATCGCTATTCGTTATTTTACGTCGCTTCTTCTCGTGTTTGTTCTGTGGGATGTTCTGTGGGAACCCGCTGTACGCGATACTCACTATTTTGTTCGAAATAAAAGACGAGTTTATGTTTAAAGTCGATTGCTCCGAACCAAGTAACGAAACGGATTAAAATCGTGCACTTAGCTACTTACAGACCGGACCCTTCTTAATTAATTAATTAATACTGTTCTAAATGAGAGTGTTTCTATCTACCCGCTTTGCGTTTTTCTTTTTACTTTTATTATTGAATAAATTTAGGCCGTCAAATTATGGGAAAAGTAATTGCGAAAAATATCTCACCTATATTGTCTAGTAAAGTAGATGAATAAAAACATATTAGAAAGTGTTACGTATACGGTAAATCCGAGTTTCTCGACTAAATATTGATTAAAGAATGCAATTATTGGTATTGTTAACTTCTTACAACAAGGTACTAAAACGTATAATTGTTATTTAGGTTAGAATCGGCCAAACTCGGAGACAGAAGATTACGTTTGCTACACGAATTGATAACAGGAATTAGAATAATTAAAATGTATGCTTGGGAAAAAGCTTTTGCCAAAAATATCGAAGCGGCCAGAAGGTAGGGTTTTGGAAGCATTTGGCCAAAGTAGGCCAAATGCTTCCATTTTAAACTAAGATGAAAACGTAGCCTAATATTTATAAGGCCGTACGAAAGAAATGGCATAATAATAACTAATTTTGTTTTCTCATTTTGTTTCTTTACAGAGCCGAAATGAATAGAATAAGAGCATCGTTACTGTTATCGGGACCTCCGTTTGCAGTGGGTTTCTTATTGTCGAAATCCTTTATATTCTTTCCATTTTTAACATTTTATTTAACCGGTGGAAAGATAACGGCCGATCTAGTATTTATGACCGTTAGTTTAACTCTTAATATATATCGCTCGTTGTTTTTTGCGCTACCTCAAGCTGTGAATCAGGTCTCCGAAGCGCTTTTATCTATTAAAAGACTACAGGTTTGTACTGTACAAGAAAAGTTTACCTATCTTATACCATAATAAATTGTATCCTTAATTATAAATGATTAGCACGCGAACTTATATAAATGAATATTTAAAGGTTTCGTACGATTTCTATACACAGTATAACGTATTGTAGACATCAAACAATTACACCCGACGCGGCTAGCGTAACCCATAATGGAGTCGACCGGAACGCTCGGTGGAACGGACACTCGGACCAGTCACGAGAAATTACAGTGTGTGAACAGGTTAATTACAGAGTAAATTAGTCAATATTACAAAATTATCGACAAAAGAATAACAAAACAAATATTTTATTTTAATAAGATGATAAGTACAGTACTTATACAGTACTTTAGACTGTTGCCTACACCAGTCTAAAAATTATCGGTATTTAATACCATTAAAGAAAAGTATTGCGTACATTTTAGGAATTCTGCCAATGGCTTTAAAATCAAAAAATAAAAAACGAATAATATGAAAAACCGAGAAACAATGTACATATTTGAGGATATGACAACAAAAAGCTATAAGATAAAATCTGTTATTCGATAAATAAGTCGGTTAAAATTTGTCCTTTGTCTCGCTTATTTTTCAGAACTTTTTGTTATTGGAAGAAAAAGAAGAGTCGTCGGAGACGTCCGATTCTCAAAAGTCTTTAGACAAATGCGAAATAAGGTTAGAAAAAATCAGTACGTCGTGGAATAAGGTAGGCAGTTGTATTTTAACATTTCATTCGTTCTTTGCAAATAATTCGTTTATATCTTTATCTTTTACTAAAAGATAAAACTATTTTGTTAATTATGTTTCGATTCTCTTTCCGAAACGTGTGTGTAAACTTGGTTGCTACCATCCATAGTTCCCATACAGTCTTTTCCGATTTTCAACTTTAATATAAAATAATTAATTAACGTATTGTAAGTTCAACCACCTAGTCTTTCGATAATTGCTTCATTTATTAGCTGTCACTGGTCTATCGCTGAGGTTTTAATGATAAATTCGGTAAAAGGGAATCATTTACGCTTGTTATACTTACTTTACCGAAAGTAATTAAATCGCAAAATGTCGCAGAAAAATTTCAATTAATTAATTAGTCGATGATTACTTTGTTCACACTCATTTCGATAGAAACTATTCGTAAACTTTTAGTTATCAAATGTGAATAAAAGTAAAATCTTTTCAGGATTCTGGCCTCGTGTTGCGAGACGTAAGTCTGCACGCTACGTCTGGAGATTTAATATTCGTGGTTGGACCCGTAGGATCTGGAAAAGTAAAGTGATATTTTAAATATTAATATAAAGCGTGGAATTTATACCTGTTTTATTTTAAATAGTAACAATGGACTTCTTCTTCGTATAATTGTTTATATACAGTACATAAATAATAAGGACGTGGCTATTTATACGTACTGACTGTACGTTCCTACGTTCTGGCCGGATACCGACTGTATGCGCTGTTATTACAATTAATATTTTGATAATAACTACACAATTATGAATAATTATAGTTTTTATTTATTAAAGTTCAGTTACAATGTTGTTCACTAAACTAATCAATAAACTATGGAGTATCATTAAATCATAAGATTAGAATAATAATCATAAGAATTAAATCATGTAGATAATGAAATTAAAATAGATAGGTAGGTATATCAATAAAGTAATCTAAGTAATTTAAAGTAAAGTAAAGTAATTTAATTTCTCTTGGTAAAAAGTGGTGTGCTTAGTCTTTCTCTTCGGACGTCCTTTGGATGTAATTTTAGTTTGGAATATTAAGTGTTTATTTGATCTATTTGAACAAGGCTCGTTATTAGACCGAATTCGTTCTTCGGGTTCTTCCGGTCCAATTGTACTAAGCCCGCTACTCTCGCGTTTAAAAAGAGAAATTCCATTTCTCGCATCGCTTTCTATTACTTTCAATTCCTCTACATGTTTATTGAAGTTCCATAATTAGGCAAATATCTGCAATATTTTTAGTTATCGCCAGTGCCATATTAAATTTTTCCCTATCCCATAATATTTTGTTGGGACAATCAAAATCATCAGTAAAAGTTTGATCTTAAATACGGTGGTCGTTGTCTACATATTCACATCATCCGTATCCATACTTAGGCCATTTTCAATTGAAATAATATATCTTGCACGAAAGCAAGTTTTTGAAAATATGTCCAAATTATTATATTTTCTTATCGTAAGAATATGACGACGCGCTGCATTAAAAGAATTGCAAAATGAACGAGAACGTCTTTCCACCGATGTATTATAAAGTTTTGATAATTTGCTATCGAGATTTTCCTTCATTCCATTATTTTTAATTCTCGTTCCTCGATAATCGATATCCTAACTATGATATCGATAATCGAAATTTAGGATATCCTAAATTATAAATAACATTAAAACTGTCATTTTTACTTCGTGGCTTTAAATAGCCAATTGCGTGTACATACTGTATGTAAAAATAGCCACTTTGAAATAATAAAACAGCTCACTTTTTCAATGCCTACCACCCAAATTTTTCGATCGTCGGGAGTAGGACATCTACAAATAACAAAATTAAAAAGAAATGTGCTAGAAATAAAATTTATTTTTATGATAAATTATGTACAAAAAATAAACAAATTACTTTAGCAAGAATTAAGTTTTGCGCAAAAACTAAAAATTTAACAAGAAATTTTTGTCTTTATTTGAGGATAAAATTTTCCGATCGTGTTCGATAAATAATACCTAAACTTGTAGGACGACCTTTCTTACGTATGACATCCGATATTCGTTTCGCCATTGTGTCAGGGTTTGGCGGTAGTCTTTATTAATTTCTTACTAATTCTCTCTACTGGCTACACTCAATTCCTCGTTCTTCGGAGCCTTTAAAATGACGAATTTTTTAAGCTTCGTCAACAGTTTCCGATAGGCCGGTTGGTAGGTTACTTTAAACACCCGATTTGTTTTTTCTGTGACGAAGCTTTACTGTTCTTGATCCGCGGCAACTACCGTCGTCCAGTTGAAAGCGCTAATTGTTGGAATCACCAAATTGATTATCGACTAATGATACGAGAAAGTGCTCGATTGTTTCTATTTAAATCTCCGCCTTAACTCTGGCTTTGTTATAAGCGGTTTATCGGTATCTTCCCGGGATATGCAATTCCAAACCAACAAGCTTGCAGGAAATTTAAGGCTTTAGTATTTGATCGTCATTACGGTTTTCCAACGCACGCCTCCGAGTAAATTTGTCGTCGCAGTCGCACCAGTTCCTGTACAAATTCTTGGATAGTCGCTAAATTCTACCCTCTTCTATTTTTCTGCCATTCGGTCTTTGTTATTTATCACATACGTAACGGTTTCTTCATTATTCGGTCGTTAGTAGTCGCTTAGTTTTGGCTTTGCAAAACGTCATTTCCCAAGTCAACTTTATACTGTTCTGTCAGAGAAATAAGCGCTTGTCAGCCTTCACTCGTTATACATTTCTTTTGTAGTATTTTTACGATTTCTTATGAAAATATTTTACAGATTTTACAGACAATTATCACCTCTTGCGGTGTTGGATTTTTTTCTCAAAGATCAGATATTACGGATTGAGCATAAATGAACAATTTAACAACTTCTCGTCGCGATTTTCTCTTATAACATTCTAATAATTCTTTTTTTTTCGTATCGTTACGCGGTTCTTCTTTATAGCCGTGATTTGAACCGTAAAATGACAGAAGTATTCACCTAGTTACTTTAAAATGCGCATTCAAATAGTGCTTGTAGCAGAAGGTAGAAGAACGTATCGGAAAATTACGTCCGAAGAACGACGCCATCGTAAAATTGTCTTCGAGTCGGTGTTAAATTTTTATTTTTCCACAAAAAGCTGAATTCTTATATAAATAATTTAACGATTGTACTTATTTATGTTAAAAACAGATTTTATTTTTAGCATATTTCTTTTTAATTTTGTTCTGCAATGTCGTATTCCAGGCGATCGAAATATTATTTCCAGCAGTCGTCTACAATAACGTAAGTGATATTTTAATTTTTAAACTTAGTCGAATGGCGTTACTGTACTTTCGTATATTCATCTTCTACACGGTCTGGTAACTAACCTACGCTGTCATAAATGATAAATCTCCGATGCTGTTTAGTCATCTCCCGCTTTTCCGAACTTTACCGAAATTGTCTCGCCCCCAAAGAAATTTTTAATTGGAGGAACAGCGGCTTCCGACAGTCCGCCCAGTACAAACTGGTCACTTCCCGATAAGGTAACTTATCTAAAATTGGTGAAACGAGGCTCGCGCGATCTCGGCACTGGCAGTTTAAAATTATGTGCGGTGTCATCCGTTAAAAGACTTTATTAGGTTGAAATTTGAAAAAAAAATTGTAAACATATACATTCCTACGGTCGCCCGATATCTGTCCTTCCTTATTCTCGAGAAGGGAATTAGATAGACGAAAGTCGATATAATACGTGAATAATTTCGTGACAAGAGGCCTAGGATAACTATAAAAAAACTTCCGCTAAAAAAAGTCACGTTGTTTAAATTCAAAAATCTTTTCCCGAACAAAGTTACATAGCACATAGCATACCGATACGACTCTATTTCTAACAGGGAAAATATGGTGTAGGCTAGGGAAACAAGACACTAGTAAAATATTGAAAACAATGTGACGAAAAATTTGCAGCTCGGCATTGAGACGATGTCGCAATAAATAACCGCGCGTTAAACAATAAATTTTGACAGAGTTAATAAAGTTGAGCTCTTCCTAAGTCAGAGAGTGTTTCGCTGCCATCGAAGTTCCAAGCAGCGGCACAACCACTAAGCGAGATTTTTTCAAATACAGTTTGTTCCGAAATGACAGTCAATGTCAAATGATGACGTTAATTTAAGAAGGGCATTTTTTCACGTGAATTGCAAATAATATGCAAAATGGCGCGCAGGACGGTATAAAATACGGAACAATAGTAGATTAGGAATGAACTACCACAAAATATAGATCTGGGATAAATTAAACTTTCTTCATAAGAAGAGGAAAATCGTTCTGGTGAAATTGTGACAAATTACATCAACTCTAGTGAAGAATACGGAGCAAAAAACAAATCTACGAGATCCTTGTCACCGAATTCCTGTTTAAAATATTAATTTGCGAGAAACTTAGCAATTCTACAATGAGCCCGAGGCAAATTGCATCGCGTCTAGCCATAAACGTGTCAAAATCAAAAGTATAGTGTTATAAAATTATTTAACCGTCTAAAAATAAGAAAGTAAAACAAATTTCATCTTCAAATAAAAGCCACAAAGAGAATTCATCATCTCGGATAATTTAAATGATTACTATTAATTAAGATGTGGTGTGACGTATCTTTGTATTAATTTCATTGGATGTCAGCGAGAGCTAGATATGCATCTAACACCTTTTCAGCAAAAATTAAAATAAAGATTTTCCAATTTCCATTCCAATAATGCACCATTCGTAATGCAAATTCAACTTGGAGCCGGTTTCTGTCAAACAGCGTTCACGTTAATTACCTGCCCCCATCTTAATTCTATAGAAAACACGTTTAGTACCTTAGCAAAGAACGTATATAGAAACGGAAAGCAATATACGTATATGGAATTATAAAAAGTGATAATGATTGTTGCTTGGCAATAAATCAGAGAAAGAGAAGAAAAGTCTTACCAATATAATGCTAGATATAATTTACAAAGTAATTAATAAATAAGGTAGACATACCGCTTATTAATAATAAATAAAATCACTCGTTTAAGTGTTAAGTGGCTCTGTCATTTAGGGACAAGTACTGTACTGTACATCCTATATGTAAGGTTGCCGACTTCGAGGGGAGTACAATTTATCCCGCGTCAGAATGAGCCGCGTACGCGAGCGGTGGCGAAGGAGGCGAATGAGTAACAAGTATTTTACGAGAGAAAAACCGTTTATTTGTTCGAATTCACGCTTACATCGATATTAGACAATTCCAAAATCTCGACGTTCCTTCGAAACGGTGAGAGCTCGGGTGATCGGTCGTAGCCAGGGCGGAGGAGAAGGATCGCTGGGCGATGCAGATGTTCGGTGTTAAGCTGCGGCGTCCTAGGTGATCTGCGGTAGCGCAACACAATAGATAAAGCACAATTGTAGGCTTAATCCAGAGGAGATTCTTTCGACCTTCCAGCTCCGATTTTTATAGTTTTTCCCCCACTATTCGCATTTCGGATTGGTCCCTCGTCCCATTCCTCGCTTCCCTATTGGTCTCGCCTTTATCTCCAGATGCGAGACGAAACCTTTTCCGGTCGCGGGAAAGGTCCGAGGTGTCCATCCGATACCTCTTTGTCGACTCTGCTCGGTGACTGTTTATAAAACAATAACACTTACACTCATAATTCGGGCCGTTGTTTACCATTTTTTGACGTCTAAGAATTTAACGATCTTTTTCATCTTTCGTCTATCAAAAATTCCCCTTTTTCTTGTTGAAAAAGGTTTATCTCGGCCAACATTTTATAGACTCGCGAGTCAATGATTTACTTATTTATGAGCGCTGGTGTTAGAGTTTGTCTTCCGCTAAGACCTTGACAGATAGTTTGACACATACTCGAACAGTTCCGAGTCTCGTTGTTTACATCTGGTGTCGCGCTGGAATTTCACGGTTTACTCGAGTTTGAACCTCGTCTGGGAACTCACATATACAACGTTGTTACAACTTATTTATGTATTTATTTAATTACCGTTTTTGATAAAATTATTATGATATCATAATAAACCTATAAGGAATTTCTTCTATTGTTTCTTAACGTGGTTATTAGTTTTTTATTAATGTCATTAATTGAGTGGCCCTGTCATTTCGTAACAGACTGTACGCGCGATTAGGCGAGGCCAATGACGTGACGAAACCGGAACTCTTCGTACGGCACCCTTCTCCCTTTATCCGTTCTCTCCGTTAACTTATAATCTCCGAAACAATTCTTTATAATGGTACCGATGCTTCGTACACGTCTTCCTAAATTTAAAAAAGAACTATGCATAAAGTGTATAAATACTTAATTTCGGTGTAAAGTATCTGCATTTCTAACCACTATATTAAAAGTTACACAAGCCGGGTACAAAATAATTTGAAGTCTGGAAACTGCGAAAACATATTAAATACGCTTCGTTTTACTTTTCCGGCTGTTATAGGCCTATACAACAGAGCGAAAGTAAGGCAATCGGTCGATACACCACCCTGGAATATTTTTACATTTTGGACTTGGGAAACCTCGAAACGTGGACAGATGAAAAAAACAAACAAATTGGGGAATTTTTCGATATGTAGATGTTAGTGTGTTTGAGAGGGGCGCGACTGTTCTACTTTCAAGCTCCCGTCCCTTTTCTGGAAAATTTCTGAACTATTGCAGGGATTTTTTCTAAAATTCGTCTGTTTTCTCAAAATTAAACTTTTTGCCATTTTTTAAAAATGAATATAACCACACAATTTTAACTTTTCACTGGGACATGGTAAGTGGTTGCTGGATTTCGTTAAATGCATGGCATTCGTGAATAACTTCGATAGACATTAGAATGAACTTGCGTATTTGTCATTATTATTGACAATCTCGTAATAATTAACACGTCTCAAATTACATAATTTTAAATTTTCTTGTACAACTTCACTTAATGTAATTAGAAATTCGCTTATAGTTATTAATTTCGGGTAAATGGTTCCTTTAAAATGTTACGAGTCATTCTAACCGTTATTTGTTAGAAGAACAGTAGTCGCTGGCTTACATCAGTTACACGCACGCTACTGTTAAACACTATACTACAGAAAAGCACGCGAATCACCCAAGATCGATTACTACTAATTAATAATAATTATTGCAATAAATAAATCTTCGAGTTATTCGTATTTTTGTTTCAACAAAAGATAAGGAAAGTTTCTATTAAATTAATTTATCCACAACTTAGTCCAAGTCTTAATTACCTGGCTCGTAATAAGTAGTCTATAAGTAAATGTAATAGTTATTACATTAAACAGCATCTTCTGTTTTTAGGTTTATATGAAGCTATCGTCTTATATACATATAGAACTTCGAAAATTCGAGTAATTGTTTATTAATTATTTGTGGAAAATCCTCGTTGTACAGTACAATTACCTGCAGAAATGAATGCGTAACGATTCGAAAAGCCGCCTTAAGTACACGTACCACCGTCTAGCGTGATGACGTCAGTTTTTTAATTTCTCGAAGATTTTGCTAATTAACTAATTACAATTTAATGTTCCCCCGAAAAAGTCAGATAGATAACCGGCACGACTCTATGTTAAAGGAAAAGTATAATGCGTAGGGGCAAGACCCTATTAATTTTAGGCGGAGAGCGTATATTTTAAATTAAATAAATAAAAATATGATTAAGAATTGCAGTCCGGCATTGTGACCACGTCACGATAAAATAACTGCTCGTTTCCTAAAGAGTAATTTTAATTCTATTTAATCTTTTACAAGTATTTTATAAACCGATGACTTTAAAAAAGAGCTTTGTCAGTCACATTTCTATTTTTTTAAGTTTTAACTAGTAATAATAATTATGTTATAAAAGTAATAATTAAAGTAGAATAATTTCAAAGTAATTGTGTTTTATTTGCAGACATGCATGCTGCTGGCAATATTAGGAGAACTGCCAATATTGCTTGGTCGAATGAATATAAACGGAAGGATCGCTTACGTTTCTCAAGAACCGTGGATTTTTAGTGGAACCGTTAGAGATAATATTCTATTTGGAAAAGATTATGACGAAATGAAGTATCGTAAAATATTACACCTTTCGGCGTTAGAAAAGGTATTTTTTTATTAAATTGTATTCATTTTTTCAAGCTTTAACTTTTATATATTACAAACAACTGTTTACAAATTGGATGATATACGACGTGCATTTCAGACGTTCTAGTGTATTTCTCGACATTTATTCAATATATATTTATTTTATTTATTTAAAGATTAGAGGGACTGTCTGTGTTTGCGCAGACATCTGCCGTAGGATGTTGGAAACAAGGGTTATAGAAAAGAGGGTAACGAGAAGTAAAGTGAAATAGAAAGTGGGAAAGAAGCGTGGGATCCTAGTTACGTGCTATTTACAATTTTCTACAATGCTGTGCGTAACAATTATCCCGGTAACCTACCCTACATTGGGTAGATGTAATTAACCGTAACACTGACTTGAACAAGATTTACGGGTCGTGGCTACCTTGGCCAGATTTGATCCCAGCTATATTACATTCTTTGTCTTGCTGTTACGTGCTGTACTGTTTTTTGTTGGTCATTTTCTGAGTTTACAGTCTTTTGGAGATTTACCCGCTGTCTTCTTGCAGCTCTGTACAGTACCTTCACTGTTGTTAGTTGTATTACCTATCTGTAAAAGTTTTGTTTGTTTTAGAAAAGTTTTCATTGCCGTTCATACCGTTTGGCTTTCTGGGATTTTCGAGAATTTTGGCGGCCAGTTGACAACCGTCATCAGGTATTTTTCCATGAAGTTCAGTCTTTCCTGTTTGTACTTCTCGCATTGGAATAGGTAGTGGGTGGTGTCTCTCGCCGTTTCTCTGTCGCAGTTGCGGGTGTTGGTTTCGGATTTCTTGAAACGATATAAGTACTATGAGAAGTTCCCCTGTCCCGTCAATAATTGTGCGACTATTGCTTCCGGGTGTAAGTGTTTGATTTTCTTCCGGAAAGGAAATCGACGGGATGAAAGCAAAGCACTGTCTACCTGTTTCAGCGGCATTCCACGCCCTTTGCCATATTTCGTTGATCTCCATTGTTAGTTCGTTTTCGGTGTATGTGATCGAAACTCTCTTATGTGTTGGATGTGTTTTAAGCCTGCCTGCTTTTTTGCCAGTCGTCCGCCAGCTCGTTCGTGTCATGTCCTTTGTGACTCGAAATCCAGCAGAACTGGATCTTTGTTTTCCTTGTCAACCTGTTTGCTGCCTCGATCATTTTAGCTCCGAGCAAGGTTGGTCTTTTCTTGTTTTATAGTGTGTTCGAGGCTGATCTGCTGTCTGTGTAGACCTTAATCGGGCTTTTGAAGTAGTCCATGTTTTTTTGTGATGTATTTGGAACCTTGGCAAATGGCCCACATCTTTGCTTGCGTGCTGCTGCAGTAGTCCGCCAGTTTTATGGTTGCTTGGTATATTTTTTGTCCTTTGTTACTCATTATTACTATACTCGAGTCTGTTCCTCGCTCACTTCTTGATCCATCCATATATATTATCCATTTAGTTGTTTTTCCTATTTTGTCGTTAAAATTAGTTTGTACTGTGTATTTGTTCACATTAGCCGAATGGTGATTTGTTTAATTTCCTCTTAGGACTCTGTCTATTTCGTGTCTGGTCTTCTCTCGAACACTCTTGGCTAGTTCTAAGGATATCTGTCTATTTCTGTGGTTATACATTTTCGTTTCCTGGACTTCAGGCGTTTTCCTTGAGTTAAGTACCAGGTTATTACGTTTAGTTCTGCTTGTATGTGGAGTCGTATTAAGTCCGCGATGACTACCAGGGCACTAATCGCCACTGTTCTGTATGTCCTACATATCTTTATAACGTACAGTACCTTCTTTGTATTGCCAGTGGTTTTTGTTTTATGTGTTGTTTCTTTATGGCCTGGCTCCAGACTGGCACCGCATATAGTATCGCTGGTTCGATGGCCGCCTTGTATATATGTCTACTATTTCTAAAGTCCATTTTCCATTTTTACCTGCGCATAAATATGCATATATGCATAAATATTTCGATTCCATTACTCTTTTTATCGTGTTGTTGCCTATCATTATTTTCGGTCTTCTTTGTAGGCGGCTTCCTTTGTTTCTTCTTCTGCAAATTAGGGCCATAATTTCTGGTAGTTAATTGGGAGTTTATTTTAATAACGTTCCACTTTTGTATTCTTTCCGGGTACTCGTTAGTTTTCTTCGTTAGCCGATCACAGTTTTGATGGGTCACTATTAGCAGTAAATCGTCCTCAAATGCTTGTATATTCACCTCTTCTTATTTTTAAATGAGTTGAGGAGTTTGTCGAATGTAAGATTCCATAGTCCGGGTCCACTCCTTGACCCCTGTGGCCATCCTCTGTCAATTTTCCTTCTAACAGATAGTATTTTTGTATGAAATTCAATGTAGTGGTCTGTAAGGTAGCTTTTGTCGGGTTAATAATATTTTTTGGACATTGAGTCTCTTGTAGACGGCCTATGACACTTGGCCACCGTATATGGTCGAACGTCTTTTTGAAATCTATACTAATCAAATAAGCGTGTTTGCTTTATCCCCCCACGCCTTGTGTGTGAAGTTCTTTGATTGTAGTCTCGCCTCTGTTGTCGATCTGCCTGGTCTAAAACCGAACTGATTCTAATTCGTATTTTCGATTTTATGTAGATGCCAATTTATTCTATCCATTAATAGTTCGTCCAGCACCTTGCCAACTACCTGCAGGAGACTTATCGGCCATTAACGCTCTGGCCTAGTAGGTTGTTTTTGATTGGGAATTAGCTTTGCATTTTCGATCTTCCAATTTGTCAGGAAATGACTCGTCTTCAAGCACTCATTGAATAAGTGAACAAAGGTCATAGGTATTTCTTTATTAGCTTCCTTTACACCGTCCAATCCCGGATATTTTCTGTTTGCCGTGAAGTTAATTGCCTTACTCACTTCAGAGAAAGAGCAGGGTACGTCATCTGGCTGGTTCTGTTCCTGGTGGCTTCTCTGTCTCATTTGTCCGTGTTTCTCTTGATCCGTCTCGTTGTCATCCCGTGTGAAATGAAAATCCATTATATTCTCAATATTTTTCTTTGTCATATGCGTTGATTTCGTCTTCGTCCTCCCCTGTCTATATCATGTCTGAGAGCTTAACTTTGTTGGCTTTTTCATTATTAAGTGATGTGGCAGATTCCACCGTCCTTTCCTGTTGACCTTGCTGCTGAACTGCATCCAGGCTTTCCGTTTTGTTTATATTTTTCTTGTAATTTTTCAATTGTTCCTTGAATTTTCCTTTAGGCCCTGTACACACTAGGCGTTTTTCAACGCGCGTTAAACGCGCGCTTTTAAACGCGCGTTTTAAAGAACCAAGAGTTCTATGTAGCCGTACACACTCAAACGCCAAGCGCGCGTTAAACGCGCGTTTATAGATTTTTGTTAAAACGCGCGTTTTGCGGGCACTTTACGGGCGCTTTGAGATATATGTGCTGCCTTATAGCGACGATGGAGGAGCACACACAATCAATTACTTTCTCGTCCATTTCCAAACTGAGCCAGTGCTAAACGCCGAACTAACGCTCGTCGAACGCCGAACTAACGCGCGTTGAAAAACGCCTAGTGTGTACAGGGCCTTATTGTTGCTTTCGCATCGTTCTCATTTGTTTTTGTAATTTCTTCCTTCTTTTGTTTAAGCCTCTCCTTTCCTCTTCCAATTTTTGTCCACCAGTATGTTTTCCTCTTTTTAGATGTTTTCTTGCTTTCTGCCCTTCTTCATGAAGTTTTTAGGGCAATTGTAATGAATTCAGCATAGCTGTCCATTTCATGTTGGTCTTGGATCTGTCGGAAACTGTATTCTCTCCATCTCTCCGCAAACTCCATACGGAATCTCTCTCAATTTGTTTGTCTTTGGTAGAATTTCTGCTTCACTATCGTAGGGGTTTTCCCCCTTTCATTTGTGTTATTACAGTATAAATCTATGGTCACTTATAGACAACATTAACATTGTCTCACAGTTTTCCACTTGATGGGTTATCTCCTCGTGCACAAAACATACATCTGTCCACGCGTATGATGTGTAATAGGTGGGATATGTCATCATATTTGTCGAAATCATGTTATGTTAATCTAGTACAGAGTCGCAAAACTTTTTCGATCGTCGACCCCCTACAAATTTTCGAAACCTTACATCGACCCTCACCAAATAGTTTGTGTTAAAGGAAAAAAGCTCTTACTATTTTGACATATTTCTTTTAATTTTACATTTTTTATATTTATTGTATATATATTAATAACAATTTTTGTAACTGACAACCGATGAGACGGATAAGCTTGATGATCCTTAGCAAGATTGGCAATATTCGGTTCAAAATTTGCAAGTTTTTGTCTTTACATCGACTCCCAATAATGTTATATCGACGACTTTGGTGACCCCCGATCTAGTAGTTTGGTCACGAGTTTTCCCCTCCTGTCCTCTCTCTCGTGTAACCAAACAAGTGACTTAGCGTTGAGATCACCGCCCACTAACACCCACTCCACTTTCCACTTTTTCCTATCCACTTTTGTTAGTACTCGTCCAAACTCGTCAATGCACACCTCGTCTCTTTCGGGGAGAAGTAAGCACTTATTATAAAGAATGGTTTTTGTTGTTGAATTATGACTGTTATCTTTTCTGAACTTACATTAGGAATCAACACCACGTCCAATGAGTCATTGCACACGATAAGACCGCTCTTTGGTTTTTTACTACTTTTCCCACCCAATACCTGCCAGTTGCCGAATTAAACTATAGATTTCTTAACAGTAAACGGTTCCTGGATTAAAATAATGTTTGCCTTAACCTCGTTTGCTGTCTTCATCAGCAGCGAACGAAGCCTTGCACTTCTAGCTGTTTAACTGTAGGATATTTAGAATATTAGAATCGTCATCAGTTAATGGTGTTCTCGCTATAGTTAGTCTCTTTGATTCTCTGGCTTTGTGTACTATATTCCGTAGTCTGTTTTTTGTATTGATTGTTTCTTTATTTTTTGTGTTAGTGGGCAGTTATTTCTAAACGCATTGTGATCGGTGGGTTTTCGTCTGTTCTTTGGAAGTTCCTGATTAGTTTTTCTACAGTTGTGCATTTTGGCGTGTGATGTCTGTTGTTGCATTCTTTGTAACGGTAAGTTATCATTTACCGCAGTGGCAACATCTCTGATCGTTCGTACACTTTTCAGCAAAATGGTCGAAGCCGAGTCATCTGTAACAACGTATGACTAATATAAAATCGTCAACAATAGCTTCGACCATTCCGTAGAGATATGTTTGGGGCCGATCAGTGAACTTCTTTACCCTTGGTGTCACCGAGATCATAACATGCCTACAGTTGTGTCGGACTCTTCCTTTGTTTATTCTTGTGCTGATTTTACAGAAAGACACCACTTTCTGTGTTTTCAAATCTCTCCATATCCTATTTTGTTTCGCCATTACGTTTTTTACTTTTCCGTCTGATATGTAGTTTGGTGCATTTAGTAATATTACTTTGGCTTCCTGCTTTCTGAGATCTTACATTGTATTCTGTTCTTTACCTCAAGTAGTGCTTCTATCGCCTCTTTTAGTTTCTTACTATCTTCCTCCTCTCTCACTCGCACGCACGTCCCATCTGCTTTTACTTTCCTGATGTTTTGGATTGTGATATTTTAGTTTACGTGGTTCAATTTTGCTTACAATTTTAGATGCTATTTCCTGTATGTCTGGCTTTCTTCCCTCCTCTGTTTCCTTAGGGTATAGTTGTGATTGCGTGGTTTCCAATTGTCCTCTCGTTCTCGATTTTTGTGTTTAGCATTTTTGATATAGACCTTCGTAGTCTGGCTAGGATTTATTTCTATTTTGGCGATCTCGGGTTATGTTTGTTTTGGTTGTGTCAGACACTGTGTGACCGGAGGGTCGGTACCTCTTTGTCTCCCTGTCAAGACGACATCACCGTGTCCCGGGTGACACGGAAGCCGAAATTGCGTGTTGATTCGGTCAGGCGAGCGGACGTGTATACAGGTGATCGAATCTGGGATGGAGATAAAGTGAGAGACAGCGTACCGGAAGTGACTCACTCAGATTCCAGATTAATAAACAATAGCAGTTTAATTTCAACGGGAAGGAATACAAGATATACGATCATAGACATCTCGAATTGATATATTTGTTAGGCTATGAAATTTAACTGTCGCGAGAGAGACAGTTTACATGATACTCGCGTGGGAATAAATACCTTATAGAGAAGTCCAGGATTGCTGATTTGATGACTCGATGACTCGCCGACGGGATTCTCTGGGTGTTTCGATGGAAGTTTCTTGATATTCGGATTGTTCGGGTTTTAGGAGAGTCTTCGGAGGAAGGTATCCGACTTGTGGAGAGGAAATCGAAGAACTCGGGCATGAAAGATATCTATATGGTGATTTCGACGGATGAAAAGTATTTTGGCACACTTATAAACTCCAGAGAAGGCGAACTTTAGATGACGACTGACTCGTTTGTCATTCCCTCCTCCTTTATATTACGGTGCTTCTCCTAGGTTTTCCCCCATGACTTCGCTAGAATTTTTAGTACATCAAAACCAATAGTTAAAATTCCACTCGTGGGTTTTGGGTGACACATTGAATGTGTAACCTTTAACAAGAAAACAAGTCCGTGGGAAACAGTTTTAATTGTCTTTGATTAACTTTGTGTCGAAAACAAAATCCAACAAAAGTTTTTTTTTTTTCGTTGTACTAAATTCGGCTCTCACACACTGTGTTGATGGAAGTGGAGTTGGGGCCCTATTATTTGTTGTTTCTTCTGACAATCTGAAGTCTTTAGTTAATCATGCCGTACACCTCAAAGAGGCAGCCGAATAGTTTTGCTGAGCTATCAGGTATCTTCAGCCTTTGTTCCACTTTTATTATCGTTTTCGAATGTTCTGGGCATAGATCCATGACCCGCCCCAGTTGTAAACTTGTCTCTTTGAGTATCTTTCTTTCCACTGTTTCTGGTTCTATATGCGAAGCCGTTTGTTATTGCGTTATGCTCCCTTAAAGCTCTTCAAATGGTTCTAAGTTACCCTTGATTCTAAGAAAGATTCGGCCATTCCTTCGAAGGACCCGTTTTCCGTATACCGACACAGCCAAGCCGATTCCCGAGGCGTAAGAAAAGCCGAAACGAGAAGCGAAAGCAAACAGCGAAGACCACCTCAAGACAAAAGGCTCGCTTTACGATCCGCGCGATCTCAACTTACGACCAGATACACGAGTTAGCAGTCCCCTTCCGGAACCGACGGACAGAAGCAATTTAAAACGATTTTTAATAAATTATCCTATAAAATATTTTATTACTAATGAAATAGACAAAACTCCAAAAATTTAACCAGTAATCGGAATTTTTATTCAATAAAAACGATGATGTCTATGGTCCGGTCGATGACTTCACTGTTGACCGTCGATACCAAAGCCTCCATTATACTAGGTTCGCACACAATCCACGACTCACTTCGATCTCGGTTGTGACTGTCGACAGTCGGATGTCGTCCTGTTCGCGCAGGCAGTCCGTTCGAGAAGAACCCGGCTAATACACGCGATAATAAAACTGACACGATCACAACAAACAAAATGGAAGTTTTGCTTAGAAATAAATACTTTTTCTTGCCATATATCTAATAATAGTTAGATGTCATCGTCTCTCCAGATGACTTTTTTATTTCTCTGTCGATGGGCTGACACGTGTTCAGCATCCATCTTGTATTTTCTCGCGTGCGTGGGATTGTGGGATCTCTCTTATGACTGGATCTAGTTTCGAGGACTGTCTCGAGTCGATCGCGATTGAACCTCGTTTCGGTCGAAATCGAAACGGTCGAGAGAGGTCCCGAAACGGCATAGTCGCCGACCTCGGTCATAATCTAGATCGAAATGCTCGGTGCGAACGGGGTATAACAGTCTTAAAATTGCAAAAACGGTTGCGTACGGTCTTACAAAAACACCTCCGTAGGGTCTGTTGTTGGCTTGATAAATGAAATACCCACAACTGAACGCGGAGAGACCCGAAAACAGATAAACGGTCCGATGCCGGAAAGCCGAGTCGCGGCAAATTAGGCCCCGTGATTTAAAAACAGAAAGCCCTACGGCCCAGAAAATTGGTGGGCCGAAAGCGTAACCGATCAGCAACTGAACACTAGTTATCCTAAGATACCTGACCAGAGGATCCCGTCTTTTAAAACCCGCTTTAACCATTACGACTTCGCGGCCGTTTTACGTAATTATTACCAAAACGAATAGGAATTAAACGACTAATTTTAGGGAAACAAAATCGACTTAATTAATTTTAAATTAAAATAGCGAATATTTCCTGCTATTATCTAGTTAGAAAATTAACGTTACAAAGTGAAAATAAAGCTGTGACTGGATAACACGTGTCTCGTTTCTGGAACGTCGTGATGCTGAAGACGAATTTCTTGTTAGTTTCACGACATTGTACAAATGTCGAGAACAATTTTCCACGCATAAAATGAACAAAGCTGGACAAATAGCACAGTTTAAATCTTACCAGGTCGAGTAACCTTCGTCAATAGGCAAAGCCGTGTCGATCGTCAACGTCGTATGCCCGGAGGTCAAGACGTAAACGACTGCGGATATTGTGACTTAAGCCTGGACTCCACATTACCGGAATCCGCGACGTAATCGTAAAACTGAAAGCCAAACTGACGAAACGTTCAGTTTTAAAACGTTCAGTTGGACAGAAACAAGACTGAAAGCAGAGTTAAAAATTATTTAACTTTTCCGTTTTCGTNGTGTCTCGTTTCTGGAACGTGGTGATGCTGAAGACGAATTTCTTGTTAGTTTCACGACATTGTACAAATGTCGAGAACAATTTTCCACGCATAAAATGAACAAAGCTCGACAAATAGCACAGTTTAAATCTTACCAGGTTGAGTAACCTTCGTCAATAGGCAAAGCCGTGTCGATCGTCAACGTCGTATGCCCGGAGGTCAAGACGTAAACGACTGCGGATATTGTGACTTATGCAGAAACAAATGAACCAAACTCTGGAGAAGACTCGTAGTATCCATCCCCAAGACGTTTGTCACTAATAAAATAATGTCCGATTCTACCTCAGTTACGCATTCACGATTTACTGTTCGGGATCCGCGTTAAACGGATAAAAATTTTAGTACGAGTTCGATAAAATTCCTACCTTACGTGACAGCTAATTCATAAGTAGTATATAAATAAAAGATAGTACGGAATATAAATTTAAAACAAAATGAATTTTAAATAGGAAAATATGTTTAAGAATTTTTTCTACTTTTTTGTTTTCCTTTTTGTTTGGAAGAAGTCGGCTCTCTTGCCCAATGCTCTACACCACATTAGAGAATCTTGAACTTTGAAATCTTTCCTCCTTATGTGTGCCTATTTGGCAAACTTGTTATCGCATTATCAATTACATCCGTTGTGCCGCTGACGGGTTTTCCAGTTCGTCAGACATATAAAAAAAGAATTTTTACTCCTGGTTTTAAATAGTTATTTTCTAACCGAGGCAGGTGTGGAGAATACAAATGAAAGTTCATAGTAATCTACACGTATAGTTTATGCTTCTGTTTAATAAATGGAAGACGGATCACTCCTGCGGATTTCCTTTGACTTTATAATTGTACTATTGACTATTCTTTTTCTAGGACACCGCGAGCACTCTTAAAACTCTTGTAGAAGAAGTCAAAAGTAATTTTTTTTATTTATTTGCAAACCGATTTGCGTGTTATTTTAGTTCATTCGTTTTGTTTTAACTAGGTTTTCGATTTGTTTTTAATAATGGTTTGTATTTTTAAAGGACGTAAATCAATTTTCTGAAGGTGATCTAACATTTGTGGGCGAAAGAGGAGAAGCGATGAGTGGCGGACAAAAGGCGAGGATAAATTTAGCCAGGTCAGTTACTGGCATTGCTTATTTATGTATTAGTTATTGGCAATGGGTGAAGGAAGATGTTCTACGTTTGCAGAGCCTTATATTTGGATGCGGATATCTACATTCTGGACGATCCGCTGAGTGCCGTTGATGCTCCCGTTGCAAAACACATATTTGAAAAGTAAAGGTTACTTCTTTCTTTACAAAACGTCCGCGTTTGCTTATTAATAGAAAATACTTCGTTAACAGGTGCATAATGGGACATTTGAAAAATAAAATTAGGATATTGGCCACGCATCAAGTACGATTCACGAAACAGGCTACGAAAATTGTTGCATTAAAACGGGTACGTATCCATTTGGCCGTTTTGGCCCGAACGGCGAAGAAAAGTGCGTAACATGTGCCATACATGTATGAACTACAGTACTATGAAGATCGGGCATGTACAGTACTGTACAATACGTTTCGCTACGTTGATAATGGCTTAAAATTAATGTCTTGTTAACAATAATAGAAAATTAATTATCTCTTCTCGCGTACGGCTACATTTCTTCGATAAATAGAAAATATTCCTTTTTAACTTAATACGAAATTTAAATGATCTAAACCTTTGTAGTTAATGTAAAATACTGTATATGTAGGCCTATACTGTTTTTTAAATCTTGTATAATCTTTGCGAATCTTAAAAACGGCAGAGTAATAAATAACATATATTTCACAGACAAATATTCAAAATATATATCTATCAATTCGACTTTTAATATAAATTTATAAATATTTTCTGTTGGGTTTTTTAATTTTATGTTTTATTTAGGGGAAATGTAAAGGCGTGGGAGATTACCAACATTTGTTAAAAATTGGGATAAATTTAGGGCATAACGAGAATGATGACGACGTTTCGTATTCAACAGAAACGGCGTTTTCCAATGAAGAAATGAGTGGTTTTTCGCAGACCTATAAAGAAATTCCAATAAGAATGCCAGGCGACGACGATCAGGTACAGTACAGTTATTGTTTATATTTTATCATAATTGTTTTTATGTTATTTCATAATTATTACATCAATGTCAGAAATACACAACAATCTCGTCGTTATTTATATTGATATAAACCGTATCTTCTTTAGGAAAATTCAGTCGATCGATATACAGTAAGACCCTGCTTAACGCTAAATCGATATAACGCGGTCTGCTCGAAGTCTAAAAATGCTCGAAATTTTCCTCGATTTAAATTATCGCGGCATTTCGTCGATTCGTACGTAATACGATTATTTACGAACACGAACCAATCAAAAAAAGGTTGGCGGAAGGTTTTCTTTTTTTTAATTTTTTTTTTTTTTGTTGCATTTTTGGAAAAAGTATAACGTGACGGATGCCGTAGGCGATATCGGCTCGCCTTGGCAAGAATTAACCGGTAAATGCACGAACGAGGTGTGGAAGAAGTTACGGCCGAAGATATCCAAGAATTCTCGACTCGAAGAGCCTATCGCCGTATCGTTAGGTTCACCAAACTCGAACTAATCGATTCAACGGGACTAGGAGACGTAGACGGGAGGGATACTGAGGTGTTACCGCGGGTTTCTGGTCAGAGCTTTACTAACGACCACCTTCGAGAACTGGCAGAAGAAGGAATTCGTGTACAACTGGATAATAGAGATTATGAAAACGAAATACCCAAAGAATTTCTCTACAGATTTCTTTAGTAAAAGTTTGGTAACGATAATCGAAATCGTCGATCGAATTGTAGCGAATGATGTAGATTTTGAAAGGAGTACAAAAGCGAAACCAGGCGTTTTGGATGCCATCCTCCGCTACCGACATTTGCTTAAGGAAAGAAAAAGAAAGCGACGAATGAACCTACGCAACTTTATTGCAAAAAGCAAGAGTTTCAGAGAAGCCAAGACCTTCGTCACAGAAAATAAACTAATTAATATATTATTATACATTTTAGTGTGCCTGTGTCTATGTGTTATTTAACATGTATTATTATACAAATTAATATAAAAATAACTTAAAATTAAACTGAAATTTGTTTATTTTTGGTGGCGTGTTCCCGTATTCGTATTTACTCTATGTTAAAATAACCTGGTTTAACGCTGTTTCGTTTAGCGCTTTGTCGTCTATGAACGGGGTCCTCCGCATTAACGGGATTTTACTGTATATTTATGTGGTATTATGTAGGAATATTTTTTGTATGGAAAGAATCCGAGTTTAGGAAAATATAATTTTTTTCGCATTCTCTCGTGTGGACTTAATAACTTATCTTCATTATCGAAAATATGCGAATGACTACGCGAATATGCACGTTTAAATTAAAGTGAGTTGTGTGTGACGTGTACCGAAAGAATCTATGAAGTAGTTTGACTGCGATTTCATTTAGTTCGATTCGACTTTGGAAGCCTCTTAAATGCAAAAACATTCAATTGTCGGATCTCGGAGGGAGCTCTGACAATTGCAGAGAAAATGACTTCATTTATCGAAAGTAAAAATATAGCACCAGTGGAAATTTGTAGCATTGGGGCTTCATCGGGAAATTGGAGTGGCAGTTGCTAGTTGTTTTTCTTCTTTTTTTAACTTTTTTCGCTCTGCGATGGCTAAGAAATCCTCTTTTAGATTTGGTTTCGGCCAGACCCACAATAGGACGGGGCCGACATACCCGAACGGATAACCCCGCGAAAAATTTGTGAGAATTCTTCGACCCGTTCAGAATTAATCCCGGGTCCCAAGAGCGGTAGACTTCACCTCGACCGCTAGGCCCTTCGGTCGTCGGCTATTTCTGTTTTAATAACAAACACTAACGTGAATTATATCTAATATTTTAAGTGTGTTTATAATTTAATGCTGCGGTATCCAAACTGCCACGGATTTGGTTCGCAAACGTATTTGACATATCTTCAATAATAGAGAATATAAAATATTTGTCGCCCGTCTACCAATGACTGGTACGAAATTTGGCTCTCCAATCAAAAAATGAACTTCACCGTTGATTTACAATGTAAATACGAATGTAAAGATAATATAGCTAATATACTGTATATTCAGACACCTTAGAGTTTAGAGAATGAAAAACTGAGAAAGAGAAAAACATCGCTAACGTTTTCGTAAAATCACGAGTACTTTTCATTATTCGTGTAAAGTTGTCGAAGTCGAACTTTTCTTATAATTTTGAAAAATTCTAAATACCGTTTTTTTCTTCTGCAGGGTATAAATGAAGAAAAGATGCCAAACGACAAAAGAGAACATAAAGAGAAGGGATTAAGTATTAAAGCGGCTTTTATAACTCTATTCAAGTTTTATTTGGATGCCGGAATGGGAAAGATTCTTCAACTGATTTTAATTTTCTTGTTTATCCTCAATCAGTGTCTAACCAATGGCAACGACTATTACCTGGCCAAATGGTATTCATCTAATATAAATGTCTTAGGGACTACAGTAGACTCTCGTTATCTTCAGTCCGTTCGGCCTCAACTATTGGGTATCACCACCAATTCTTGAGTTGCAACGGAAACCCGTATTTCTGTCTGTACCGAACTCCGCTTTAAAATGTCCGGTTAAAGGTTATCGTTAACCTATTTCCTATTTTTAAGTATATATAAAGTGTACTAAGTAATATCCGATCATTTCCATATTTTTTCCCGTTACCAAAACTGCGTAATAATCGTTAAGAGCGAGTGGGAAATACTAAAGAGAGTCTACTGTAAGTTAATAGTAATACTCGAATAAAATGCGTAATAATTGAAATTTTCGATATTCGTAAAATTTTAGATTTTTCTATAATTTTATAATTTTTGTATAAATTTTAGGTAAAGACAATTCTTATAAATTTTATTTGTATTCTTATAAGTGTGTTATAGAATAATAGTAATAAAATAGTATTATAATAATTTAACACGTTATTTGTCTATTGCAAGGAGTAGCCAGAATCGCCGGAATATAAATGAGACGTTGAAGGAATTGCCAGCGAATGAGACGGTAGACTGGAAGAAAGTCGAAGGTTGTATAAACGAGTCCGCCGTTTACATTTATTCGGGACTGTTCTGCGGTTCGATCGTTCTAACTCTACTCTCTTCGGTGACATTCTTAGTCCTGTCTTGTAGGTCCTCGTTAAACATTCACAACAACACGCTCCGTTCCCTAATCCAAAGTCGAATATCGTTTATCGATAATAATTCCATAGGTGAGTACATGACTTACTCGGCGGAAATAATAACTCGGACTAGCAATAAATAGCCGCGTAACACTAGGAATTCCGAAAATCAGAGCGCAACGCTTAGAAACCGTGGCAATCGACGTATACAAACGTACCGTACAGTACAAACCGCATAAAATGGTATTATCGTGTTTGCTGGATAGATTTGATTATTTAATTCGCGGCATTTTATTTCCGTCGAAAACTAATCCACGCTTTAAAATATAAATTTTCGTCTATAATTACGTATTTTCTATTATCAGGACTTATTATACTGGCTTTACAGATAATACAGTGTTTCACAGAAAACAATTTTTTATTTTATTTAATATACCTGGAGACATACATAATTTTGCGTTTCGGACACTTTTGTGCCTCCTCAGCAGGTATTTTTGTAAAGTACTTTATAAACAATAAAATAATTTTTTTTAAATAACATTTAAAATTTATTGACAAAATGATTTATTCTTATACATTAGTAAAATTCTCACAACTTTCAAATTTTCTTTTATTTTTAACTTGACCGGATATTCAATTGTAACCATCAAGAACAATATTATTGTGAACTTAAACCTGTATCATACAAATTATTATATTAACATTATATCGTTTTTTACATTTATTTACTATTTTACAACTTACATCTGTTCTTATTCCATTTGACTCACACCTCGTTTCCACTTCTTTCGATTGTTCTTTTTATCTTTTAGACACACCCCTTTTTTCTATGATTCTTCTCCGTGATTGGTGCATTTCTCTACCAGTATATCTTCATTATCGAAA